ATCCACTAGAGATGATAATTAAAATAAAATCTGATTCCAATATCGCGTAGTATGCGACATCAAAGGCATAATGCATCTCGCAAGTGCGTACTACTATTTCAGTGATCGTAACTGTACATATGTGAGGTGATGTCAGGTAATGCGATGCAACGTGATGTGATTTCATGTGAAGACATGTGAAGTGATGTCATATTCTGTTATATGATGTCACATAGTGGGTATCGATAACAAAATCAATAAAATTATCGATACAAATTTCTATAAAAAGTATCGATAGAAAAATTGATAACAATATCGATAAAAATATCGATAAGTTCCGAAAACATCGATAGAAAAATCGATAAATATATTGATGAGAATTTCAATAACAAAATCGATAGAAATATCGACAATAAGATAGATAAAAATATCGATTATTATATCGATAAGTTTCGAGAATCCCCAAAATCTCTAAAGTTACGAAATAGTTCCCAGATTGAGTCTCTGTGTCTCTGGGTTTTCTTTATAATTAACTTTATTTTAATCTTTCTTCCTCTATCTTCATCTTTACTTTTATCGGTATCCTCATCCCCACCTTTTTCTTTATACCCGAGCGCACTTGTGCACAAGGGTATATTAGTTTTGTTCACATAACGGTTGTTTGTAACAGCCAAAACGAATCGAGATAGATATAGACAAATGTATACATAAATGATCAGGATGAAAAAAGAAATCGATTAAGCCATGTCTGTCTGTCCGTCCGTCTGTCCGTCTGTCCGTCTGTCCGTCTGTCCGTGTACACGATAACTCGAGCAAAAATTGAGATATCTTAACGAAATTTGGTATGTAGGTTTCCTTTAATCCAAGGTAGGTTGGTATTGAAAATGGGCGAAATCGGACTTTAACCACGCCCACTTCCCATATAACGGTAATTTCCAGAAATACGAAAACTGCGATATTTTAGTAACTACTAAAGATAATTCACTCAAAATTGATATTTATAATAAGTTTTAGACGAAAAATAAGAATATTATAAATTTTTGGAAAATGGGCGTAGCCACGCCCACTTATGGTTATATGTGTATATCTTGGTAACCGCTACACCAATTTCTTCCAAACTTGGCACAGTTGTTGGCCTTGGCACAACAAACTAAATGGCCGAAAATTTTTAAAATCGCTCAATAACCACGCCTACTTCCCATATAACGGTAATTTTCAGAAATACGAAAACTGCGATATTTTAGTAACTACTGGAGATTATTCGCTCAAAATTGATATTTACAATAATTTTTCGACGAAAAATAAGAATATTATAAATTTTTGGAAAATGGGCGTAGCCACGCCCACTTATGGTTACATGTGTATATCTCGGTAACCGCCGCACTAATTTCTTCCAAACTTGGCACAGTTGTTGGCCCTGGTACAGCATAAAAAATCGCCGAAACATTTTAAAATCGGTCAATAACCACGCCCACATCCCATATAACGGTAATTTAGAGAAATACAAAATCTTCGATAAATCAGTAAATATTGAAGCTAAATTATTCAAAATTGATACTTGCAACAATTCCTTACCAAGAAATACGTTTATGGTAAAATTTTGGAAAATGGGCATGGCACCGCCCACTTATGATCACATATATGTATATCGGTAACCGTTCTACCAATTTGTACCAAACCCGGTGTGGTTATTGTGCTTGCCACGTGTAAGCAAAACGTTGAAAATTATTGAAATCGGACTAAAATAACGGCCGCTTCTCATATAACGGTAAATTTCAGAAATGCTTGAAACTTCAATATTTCGAAATTGAAGGACGCTAATTTACTCAAAATTGATACACCCCCGGCTTACCATCTAGCGGAAGGTTTCGGAAAGGTGAAAAAACATATTTAATACTTGCGCCGGGTATTTAATGTTCGGCTCCGCCCGAACTTAGACTTTCTTACTTGTTATATTTATCTTTGTTTTTCGCCCTTATATATGTAAGTAAAGTGTATAAACTTAGCTTGATCTTCATTTTTGCATTCATTTTACGCATCTTTGTTTTGGCTTTTATTTCTACTTTTGCCTTCATCCTTTTCTTTATCTATTTATGTACTCAGCTGTACTTTCATTCTTGTGTTGGTCTTTGTCTAAGTCTTATTCTTTAACATTTTATTAGCATGTTTTTGTTAAATGGATACCATTTGCATACATTTAAGAAGCACTCGATTCAGTCCCAACCATTTCTATGAGCAAAATGCGTGTGCAATTTTCGTTGAATTTGCCAATTTAACTACTCCCACCCAACCATCCGCCGCTAAGGAAGTTTCACATCAAAAAATATCTGCATTCATTGAGGTAATTCCTATGCATTGATTTATGCAAAAAATAGTCTTTCTTTTGAGTTGATCGCACTTTGGATCTACATATATACATGTGCGATATGTACTTACACATGTACACAACTCGATTCAAAAACACTTATTGTTGAATATTTATTAAGTATGCAAAAAATTAGATTTTAAATAAATAATCTTCTAAAACAACAAAAAACTCTAAAATAGTCATTGTTTTAGAACACCATATAAATCCATATTTCAAACTTTGTGCAAAAATTATAAAAAATCTAGTTTTCCAAATTTTATTCAGATTTTTTCGAATTTTTTTGAGTTTGAAATGTGGATTTATATAGTGTTTGTTATATCATGAGCAAGACTTTTATGGAAAAATAGTAAAAATTAAATAAACAAAAGAAAAGTAGCCAAAATTGATGAAAATGTCATCAACATTAGCTGATCGCAAGTGTACATTACGGTGGTCCTTAAAAAATCAAAGGAGCTATTTCGTAACGATTTCCTCCTCTATCAATTGTTCTTATTTCGATTCGAATCGATTCATATACCAATTTAATATTTTAAAGTCTGCTGATTTAAAATATGGACTTACGATTTTGATATCTAAAAAAAGACTTTTCTGAATCCAGAAAAAACTCTCTAACTTCAAAACTTGGCTAACTGGGCCATTTATGTAAATTTTATGAATTTGCACCTCTTACGCGCCTCTAAGGCACGTCTTTCTGGTATATGAATTTGAAAATATTTCAGAGTACATACTTTTAAGACAAAAAATCTATCTAGGGCAGTATTGTTCGTTAGTGTAAAAAGTAAGGCGGACACAAATGTGCATGAAAGTGGTTCAAAAATGTATGTAAAAAAAATAAGATCGGATTTTTAATGTCGCCACCCCCTAGGATTGTTTTATATCGAAAAAAATATACCCTTATTTTTTTTATTTTGAAAAAAAAATAGGGAGTGCTCAAGGCGCTCAAAGTTTTCCATGCATTTTATATGGGGGAAAAACCACTTTTCGTAGAAATAGTGTAGAATTCTTGAAAATCAACAGCTTTCGATCGGAAAACTTTTCTTATCTTCAGGAGATTCCCAGTAATAATACGCAATTGTCTCTTTAACCATTTTTTCATAGTAACTATATTTTATAGGTCCTCCAAAACCCCTAGAAAATGCAATGGAAAAATCTTTAATCATAAAAAATTGTTAAATAAACAATTGGATATTAATACTGGAAGTCTCCTGTGGTCCAAAATAATAAAGTCGGAATTTTAATGCCGCCACCCCCTAGGATTGTTCTGAACCGAAAATAATTATACCCCTATTTTTTTATTTTGATATCAAAAAATATTTAGGGAGTGCTCACAACAAAACATATTTTCGTAAAAATGGCATACAACTATTGAAAATCAATATTTTTCAATCGTAAAACTGTGGTTCTCTTCAGGAGAATTCAAATATTGATATCCAATTATTTAACTATTTTTTATGATTAAAGATTTTTTATTGGCCCTCCCATTGCATTTTCAATGACCCATAAAATATAGTCACCATGAAAAAATTGTTAAAGGAGCAATTGGGTATTATTACCGGCAATCTCCTGAATATAAGCAAAGTTTTCCGATCGAAAAATATTGATTTTCAAGAATTCTACACTATTTCTACGAAAAGTTTTTTTTTCCACATATAAAATACATTGAAAACTTTGAGCGCTTTGAGCACACCTTAATTTTTTTTTTATATCAAAATAAAAAATTGGGGTATAATTTTTTTTTGGTATAGAACAATCCTAGGGGCTTGCGGCATTAAAAATGCGACCTTATTTGTTTACATACATTTTTGGACCACTTTAATGTACATATGTATGTATGTATTAAGTTTATATATTTTAAAAATCATAAACTAACAGTCTGTTTAACAATAGACGCCTTTGTTTTGAAATAGTATTAACGAATAACCTCCTATAAAAATACATGATGTCGTATTAATAAAAAATGGCTTTGCTCCAATTTGAAACAATTGCTAAGTTTTTGAGTATTTGCTCAGTTTCATATGATAGAAAACTTATTTGAGCATTTGCTCTGTTCAAAAGCTAGCATATGCCCAGAAAAAGGAAATAAAATAAATTTGTCAAAATTTTATAAAATTAAAAATAATATATAGTTTTCTTTTCTAAGCAATTACATCTAAAAATTAAATGAAATCGAGAAAATATTCTTCTTTTTAAGGGAAGACAATCTAAAAATTAAGAGTAAGTTAAATTAAGAAAGAAACGAAATTAGCTAAACAACAGGAAAAACTGAGAGTTTTTAAAAATTAAATGAAATTAAAAAATATATATATTTTTTTTCAATGAAAAAAATAAATTGAAACAGAAAAAAACCTCCGCTACCCGAGGACTGGAACCCGTATTAATTTTGTACCTTAAACGAAATTTTGTATCTCAGCTGCTCACAAATGCACATAAATATTTATGTATGTATAGGGGTATTCACGATCCGGTGCATACTGTCTAGCATGGTGCACAGATAGCATGATTGTTGTTGTTTAATGTGTTCAAACAACAAAAAAAATTAGCCAATCATGCTATTTATACTCTCTATGCACCAGGCTAGACCGTATGCACCGGCTCGTGAATACCCCATATGTATTTGTGCACATGCATTTGAGCATGTGTCACTGCGACTTACCGCATCATCATGCATAGTGATTGCTCCTCTTGCAGTACGCTTTCCAAATACATCATATCCAAGTCGGATACAATAGCAGCATTGATCACCATTATTTCGTCTCCCTTGATAATTCCTGTAACGAAAATGCATACGTACATATAAATGTGAAAACAATTGAAGAATAAGGTAGCGGAAATCTGTATGGAGATGTGACATACTTACATACATAAATGTATGCACACATATATGTATGTAAAAATATACATATATATCTATTTTTGCATGATAACATAGAAAAGGAAACTTCTATGAATTTTTAGCCAAGAACAAAGACGGCATTCGACAGCTGGCAAGCAGGCGAAAGAAATGAAATCTAATAAAAAGCACAGAGGTAAGCTATGCACACGGGCTGACACATATGTATGTACCTATGAATAACACATACATATGTATAATGAAACTATAATATGTAGCCACTGTTGTTTTCCTTTGTGGGTTGCTGAAGAATACCTTGTTATACATTGTGTAGATAACACCTCGTAAAAGCAAGTAAGCATGTACGCAGTTCTGTGAAACGCTTTCCTTTTGTTCTGTTGCATCGCATAACAGTTACAATACAATTGCATGCACGCGAAGTTGATAAGAGACCAAGCGACTGGCAAAATGTCTTGTAAATTTCACACGGCAAACGCTTTAAAGCGCTTACTTGTTGTCACGCATTCGAACGAATGCTCAAGGAAGCATGAAAAGATGTAAAACAAATATATATGTATACAAATCGAGTCCTACTACTCTTACTAATATGCAGTGTAATCATCCGCATGGAAATAAAATCACAAAGGTAAACTAAAGTTTGCAATATTTCCACAACGGTGCCAGTTTTGTGTTATTTTTTGGTTTTTTTGCACTACCTCAATTTGACTCACAGAATATTTGAAGCAGTAAAAAAGGGTATTGCTGAGAAGTAGCTAAGTATAACGGCCATTGGTAGGAGCACTCAATTCTTTACTTTATCAAAGAAGATGGTAAGATAATGTACGAAATACTTTGAGGTTGCACATATCCTAGTTCTTGTTCACCTTTCCTTGAGCTAATACAATGACCATTTGTACTTAGCAAACGGTACTCCCATCGACACTTCCTTAAAGCTTCGATCCATCCCATTACCAGTGAAGGAGAGAGACAAAGCCTCGGATGAGGCCTGCTTCTTTTATAACGACCACGGAAAACGTTCGAACGACTATGATTTGAGGGAATGCACGTGGAATGTCTGGACACTTAATGGGGAAGGTGGTTCTGTCTGGCTGGTTGATGTCCTCGTAATGGCCCTACGCCATCTAATAAATGCGTTAGAGGGGCAAGGAAAAAATGTATGGGGCCTTGCGACATCTACTACAGTTGCCATGAGAGAGAGACTCTGTCGCCGAGTACTGTCATTTACTCCGGTGGACAAGCGTCTTACCACAATCCGCATCAAAGCGAAATTCTCTCACTCATCTGCGCCCATGGAAAAGAAGGACGAGCCATCCAAGCATCTCTTCTGTGAGCACTTGGAGTGTACATACCAATTCAATGCCAAGGTGGGTAAGGAAAGGACCTTTGGCGCCACCGTCGGAAAACACAACCACCATGACGAAACATCTGACAACGGACTGAGGCTGATCGACTTCGCCGGGGCCCGAAATATGGCTGTATGTAGTACTAGTTTCATGTATGAAAAGATCTACCAAGTTACATGGTTGTTTCCAAATCGAAAAACGAGAAACCAAATCGATCTTGTAGTGATAGACGGAAGGCGCGTTTCCAGTGTTTTAGACGTACGTACACTGCGAGGGCCAAACATCGACCCGGAACACTTTATTGTTACGACCATGATACCTCCCGTTTCTGCGCCGCATAAAGCTGTGCCCAACAATGCAGGGAAAGCTCAACGTCGAAAAGCTGCAATCACAACAGACGGTCAATGCATTCGCCCCTCCAGCCGAAGAACAGTCTGCTTCTTTAAGCAAGTCTGAAAGAACAACTGGTACGACGAGGAGTGTCAAGAAGCTACGGATAAAAAAGATGCCACGCTGCGCTCGAGCGTAACGCGAGCTATGTGGGACCGCTACAGGAAACTGAAGAGGTTGAAATGCTGACCGATAGGAAAAATGCCCGATGTGTTAAGGATACAAAAATTAATTAAGGGGACATTTTCAAACCATTCGTTCTTTTGCATAAAAATAAATAATAATAATTCTACAGAGTTCGTCCTTTTGAACAGAAAAAAATAATAATTCCACACAGTTTTGTTTTTCATTTGGCACCCATATTATTATTCGATATTGAATTTAATATTTTAAATAATTTTTTAAATTAAATACTTCTTTGAAATTTAATTTTTTATATTTGTCCGGGAACCTGGGTAGTGGGTTCTCTTTATGCGCGTTTACGGATATGAGATTATATTTATGCGGGTACCCGGAGAGGCGGTTATCCTTATCCGCGTACTTGAATAGCGGGTTATATTTGTCCTGGTATCCAGGTAGTAAGTTATCTGTATATGGGTACTCGGATATGAAGTTATCTTAATCTGGGTATCTGGATGCGGGGTTATATTTATTCGGGTACCCGGAGATGCGGTTATCTTTATCCGGGTACTTGAATAGCGGGTTATATTTGTCCGGGTACCGAGGTAGTAAGTTGTCTTTATATGGGTACCCGGATATAGGGCAATATTTATCTGAATACCCGTGAAAAGTTATACACATCGCGTACCCGACTAGGCAGTTGTCGTTATACGGTTACCTGATAGCGGGTTATCATTGTCTGCATACCCGAATAGATGGTTATCTTTATCCGAGTACCCCAGTAAGGGTTTATTTTCGTCCGGGTACCCGGAAATGAAATGTCCGAAGGAGATTTAGTTTTGTTCTTAATTTGCATTATTCCTTGGCTGAGAAGGTTTTTTTTTATTTCGCAGCGACAAAGGTTTCGCACTGAGAGCAACCAATAAAGCATTGTTAAAAATGTTTCTGTTAAACTCCGACTGAGGCAATATTTCTGCTTCAATAATTATTACGTATAAGTGTTATTATGCGAGCATTTGAATTGGTTAATAGTTATCTTCGAGCTCTAACTATAATAGGTACCATTACGTCGGCGCAATGAACTCTTCAGTAAAATACCGTGTTTATTATTTATAGATCCTTCTCTCTCTCATCAATTAAAAAAGATGTGTTAGTGTAGTAGGCTGCTCTCGCTCCCATGTCCGCAAATTAAAAAGAAAAACTGAAAAAAATATCTTCTTTTGATTAGACACTCCTCATATAAAAAATTAAATCAGGCGCATAGTTTTGTTGCACGATGCAATTAATAAAATAATATACCCATATAAAGTTATGCATGATTCCATTATTAGTTCCGACAAGCGTAGCTTTCAGAAAGCATTACTTTTGTATTGAGTTTTTCTATTACTGCTTCTAATAAGAGCTTTTGTTTCACAACTACACTGGTTGTCATTTTACTTTATTGTTTTTCTTGTAAAGCTTATCAATGCAAATGAATTTACACACACACTTGAATATTCTGATTTTATTTATTTTTTTTTTCGTTGTATATAGTTTACACCTGAATAGTTTGTCCTTTGAAAGCGTTTTCCACGAGTACTGCATGACACACAAAAATGCACTTGAGGAATTTGTGAGCAGCTCCACTAGAAAACTGCATTCATTCTGCTTTATATTAATGCATTTTTTTGTACATACTACTTGTAAGAGGCTTAGCTGTTGCTGGCAAATGAATTTACATCTTTTTGATGGAATCTGCAAGTTGCTCATGGATGCTTCTCATGCCCGAAAGCTGTATGTATGTGTTGGGGTATATTTTTTAATGCTTCCATAAGGCACCTTTTCATGCTTAAGTCTCACAAAGAGTGTGCAAATTTGCGGTGTACAATGCGCTTTTGTTGGCAAAAAAATAAAGATGAGTGTTAAATAAAATCTTGAAATTTAATGTTGAAAGTGAAAATTCGTTTCGTCAGCTATAGCAACCATTCATTGCTTACCATCGTCATCACCTTTTCCAACTTCAGCTGTTCCGAGTGTGTGCTCTTCTTCGTACCTGTTCTAGAGCAACTTCAGTTGCTTGGAATTCAAATTTAGGGTGCATTTTTAATTTTTGACGAGCTCGCAGAAAGTTTACCAAGGAATGAATGTGTATAGGAGCAGAATTATGAGTGAAAATGTTTGACATTCCGAGCGCTGTTCATTTATGAGAGCAAGAAACAAAACCAAAGAAAGCGAAATGAATATGCGGATGTCAAGGAGGATGAACTCATACACATGTGAGAGTATGAAGTCCTGTCATTTAATAAAATGCAAAAGTGTATGTGGAACATACATACGTACAGACGTATATGTACATGCGAATGTATAGAAAAATGTATAATTTTCAAGAAAGTTCATCTATTTTTCTCTAATCTATACAGCAACCCGGCAAACATTTTCAATCGACGGAGACTATCTTTTAATAAATATTTCGACAACTTCAATAAGAGCGGAGCGCAACTTTCAACAAGGAATAAATTTTGGTTTGTAAGCACTTGTTTAGCTTGTGACAAGACTTTCAAAGGATATACGGACGATTTGTGAATAAAAGACTTTTACAACTCTTTCGAAATTTTCCGTTCGGAAGAGTACACATGTTTGACTGAACAATTGTAAGAAAGTAAATAATGCCCCCGTTAACCGTCTTTTCGTCTCAAGGACCTGTTACAAAAATAATCGCATCTTCTTCTGGAAGAAGCTAGGCTTTATTACTTCGACGATCGAGAAAACTTGCGGATTGTATTCTGATAGTATTTGAATATATTCGTGGCAACTTTTTATTAACATTATTCCAAAAGATATGTATATCGTATACAAACATCGATGTAGCTCAGCTTTCAGTTAGATTTGTTGATACAATTGATACAACGATCGTCAAATATTCTTTCGAAAGTGTAGTAAATTAAACGCTTTTACAGTGCTCTGCCAATTATCTCTGCTTTATTGATTTCCAAAAAGTCCACTTGTGCTGGACGAATCATTAAAAAAATATATGGTTTCTCCTGCGGAAATCTTTGCTTTGGATAGCTTCAACAGATTTAATAAT